GGAGAAGGGGGGAGAAGGAACAGAAAATAAGTAGCATAGACCATAGATAGAAAATAGATAGGGAGGAGGAGGGCAAGAATGGTATGGGAAATATAGAATCTAAAGAACTTGAGACACGTGGTCATAAACTAAAGGGGGGGAATGGTGTGGGAGGAGTGTGCAGGGTGGAGGGGAATGAAGGGGGAGAAATAGAACAACTGTAGCAGCATAATCAATAAAATATATTTTTAAAAACCACTCTTCTATAGTGGTATGTTTGTCAATTTCGTTTTGCATTCTGTAAGTTTTGTTACATGGAAATAAATGGCGTAGCTGTTTTATATCTCTATCCATGAATCTGTCTGTTGTTAGGTACATATATACACTAGATAATATTGCTAGGCATGTTTAAGTTTAGAATTATTCTGTGTTCCTTGTTTAACAAACATCATCAAGCAATACCCTCCTTATTCTTCACAATTAGTCTGATAAAGTGTATTTGGTCAAAACAACATCACCTTTACTTTTAAACGTATTTTCTATTAAAAATTTTTTATTCGTTTTCATCACCATTTAGGCCCTCCATACCCTCTTTTCCTCCGCCCACTCTCTTCCCATCATCACCACACTACTGCCAGCACCCACAAGTTCTCTCTTTTTGCTTAATGCCTTCCCTTCCTAGACCTTTGTGCACCCCACCCTGGGCTGTCAGGCTGCTCTGTATGGATGAGAATATCTCTATGTTGCTTGTTAGTTCAGTGTGTTCATTAGATTCCACATATCAGTGAAAATATACTTGTCTTTCTCGAGTATTAGTTCACTAGCATAATGTTCTTTTCCTTTCTTTTACCTTGAACTTGAACATATCTTTGTATTTGGGGTATGTCACTTTTTGGGGGGGGATGACATATCTCTTTTAAAACAACATATACTTGGATTTTTCTTTAAAAATCCATTTTAGTAATCTTTGGGCCTGTAAGTATAGGCCTTTTACATTTAATATAACTACTATTCCTAAAACCATTTTGCACTTTCTATTTGTCCTGCTGTAGCTATTCTTTTTCTCTTTTTTTCTTGTCTTCTTTGGCTTGGAAAAAAACCGGTTGAGTACTTACTCTTAAGTTTTAAAAAAGATAACTCGAAGTCTAGTTCAGTGGTTAGCAAATCAGAGACCAAAACTCAAATTCAATCTGTCCCCTCTTTTTTATTGCCAAAGAGCTAGGACTAGCTTTCACATTTTTACATGGTTGGGGAAAAACTCCGAAGGATATTTTGTGGTATGTGAAAATGATATGAAATTCAAACATCAAGGTCAATAAAGTTGAACTAGAACACAGCTGGTTACTGAGTCGCAGGAATTCATTTACAACAGTCTACAGCTTCTGTACTAAAATGGCAGAGTAATTGCAACACAGATTAGTGGTGGGGAAGAAAATTTTTGGTGTCAGTATTCAGGACAAGACAACCAAATTTCCTTGTTTTCTTTTACTGGTGGCCAGGTTTGTTGGGTGTTCATTGTCTCATTCACTGAGTTAAGCTCTTTAAGGGTCCTCTCTTTATCTAGGGGTAGCTTTTGATCTGGCATGGTACAAGGCCACCGCCCTCTGACCTTGCTTCCCCCACTATGCATCCTGAACTGGCCAAGAGTTCACTAAAACCCAAGGTTCTCCAGAGCATCTGCTTTCTATTTTCTGCAGGGATGGGGGTAGTAACAGGAACTGCTCCAAGTACTACGGTGTATACGCATCAAACAGTGGCTGTCCTTAGCCCACTGACTGACCCTTGTATCCAATTCCTGAGCCTTTTGAGATGTTCTTCAGGGTAAACTATTCCATGCCTCACTGGTACTATCCACTGGAGACACTTAAAGGTTGTCATCCTTCAGTCTATGAAGTCATTTGCCAATCCTTTGTCTACTTTTTTGTCTTCACATGCTGTGGTGCAGGACTGTAAAAACCTTATATTTGGACTGTAAGACGCACCCCCCATTTGGGATGAAAATGGGGATGAGTCTTATAGTCCAAATATAGCTTGCCTGGCTCAAGAGGCAGGGGGGTGGCAGCCTATGCTACTTATGTTATTAAATACTTTACCACATTTTTTTTTGCTTCAAATTTTTTTCCTATTTTCCTCCTCTAAAACCTAAGTGCATCTTATGGTCTGATATATCCTACAGTCCAAAAAATTCAATACATTTCCTCACAGATGAAGTATATGCTTCTGTTAAAAGTCCCCCCGGTTTGGTTTGTGATTGTCAAGACAATGTTTCAACAACTCCCCAAAAGAGAACTCTGCCTTTGTTTACTAAAACTCCATAAATTATTTCCTAGGCCACCATAGCTTAGTCACTCTTTTTGTTTTGAACCAGGGCCAAGTCTTTTGCTGCAGGCAGCATTCATTAAGTGTTGTTGGGCCTCCTCTTTTCTTGGGAAGATATGGTCAGTCGCTCTAACTTCAGGATTCCACAGTTATTCTACCTACCTTCTCATCACTTAAGATATTACATATGACATTTCTGCCTTGTCGTGTTACTCAAGGAATTTTATTTTTCTTTTGTTAAGTCCTCAGTCTATATCATCTACTCACCATCTTTTAAATTACACATCTGAATTTTAGAAATACTTTAGCAAAATGCCCTTTTTGTATCACTTCCCCAAATATTTATTTAGAGTCTCATGTGCCAGATACTAAGGGCAGAAAGATTTAGAAGACACAGTCCCAGTTCCTGGGATGCTTACAGTCTTGTGAGGTATGGGGTAAAACAACAATCCTAATACACTGTTGTATGTTAGACTGTATTGATGTTGCATGTTGTATTGAGTGTTATATGGTGGAGGTGTATAGAAGTTGCAATGCAGAGAGAGGAAGGAACACCATGTCAGCTGAGAGAGTGCAGTGCTTCTCAGAAGAGAGGTCATCTGGGCTGATCTGTCATTTGTTCATGAGATGCATGAAAGCACTTCTTAGCATAAATAAATAACTTCAGCAAAATTAAAGAGGGTATTTCAAGAAGGGCTACATTGCCTTCAAGAGGAAATAAAGTTTACACAAGGCAAAAAAGTGGAGGGAACATTCTTGAAAGTAGCTAATATTTGATCATTGTTTTTTTTAATCTATTGATTGATTTTAGAGAGAGGGAGAGGAAGAGAGAAAAACGCTGATTTCTTATCCCACTTATTATGCATTCATTGGTTGATTCTTGTATGTGCCCTGACCAGAGATTGAACCCACAACTCTTTGGTGTAGGTGAGACAACCATCCAACCAAATGAGTCACTTGGCCAGGGTCGTCTAACTATGATAAAAGTTCAAATATAATATATACCCTTCCCACATTCTAGACATTTTTGATAATGTGTTCACTATTTCCAGTCTCTCTATGCACATCACAGTTTATGAAACATTCCTTTTCCTGCTGATCTTTAGCAGCAAAATACTTTAAATATCTTCTAATAATTATTTAATAATGTTATTGGTTTCTAATCTCTAACATCATGTCTTTTCTCTAACAGTCAATACATCTTATTTATAGAAAATTTCACATTTTATAATTTTGCCACTGGAACATTTAGCCAAAAGTGGGTTGCGAACTCCTCAAGTCTTGCTGCACTGTTAGCTTCAATGGTCTCTTTTCTTCAGGCAGATTAGCTATCCATTTCTTGTCCTCTGAAATCTTGTCAGAACTTGCCTACACTTTCATTCTTTGATAGGCATCTAGAAAAAACTCATATTCTCCTAATTCTTCATCTTGAAAAAGTTCCAATTAAAAAAATCAAATGATCTGTCTCTATTCCAGGTGAAGTTCACAAGCATTTTCTTTGTGACACATGGTTCTTCCTCTACCTTTTCTTGTCCATCATCTTCATCAGCTACAGAAAATTTTCTCATTCTTTCACAGCACATTTCATCCAACACACATCCACCAAAATAAGGGCAACATGGCCTAAAACATCCTGTCTCCTGGAGAAATGAATGCTTTAGCTGAGATACCAAAACTCCTAAATTTCCCCAGGCTCCCAAGTGTTTTCTTCAATAAACAGGGAGCTGCTAATAATCTGTGATCCAACTAATGCTTAGAAACTCTCTTATTGTGAATTCTTGGCCAATCTATACATCCACCAAGAAGGACCTCAAAGAAGAAAATCTAATTCTTACCCTCAAAAAATGTGCAGGAAAAGACACACATGCAGCACTAATCACAAAATGATGTGGTAAGTGCGTCAACAAAGGCTTGTATGCACACAGTCATTCACTCCTTGATTACCTACTCTGTGCCAATTAATGGGGAAACAGTGGTTATCAAGATGAACAAAGTCTTTGCCCTCACAGAGCTCACATTCCAAAGGTAGGTGGACTTGGTGTAATAGGCTAAATACTTTGCAAGTGCTTATCATATGAGGTAAGAATGTGAAAAAGAAAAAGTTGTGGTACTGGACAGTGCCAAACATAGGGCCAAAACACAATACTTGGCCTGAGAGATGATGAGAAGTCAGTGGGTCAAGTAAAAAGTTATTCTGGGCTCAAGGATGACAAACTCAGTGGCCTGAAGCAGACACAAGCCTGGTAGGCATCAGCTTACTGTGCCCAGAGCAGGTTGAAATGTGCAAGCAAAAGGAGAGTGGAAAGAGGGAAAATCAGAAAGGCAGGTAGGGTTAGAGTAAACGTGAAATTCTACTGCAACAGATAAGGTGTTTTCTAACCCAGAAAGTTGCCCATATTAGACTCTCATGGGCAGGAATCACAGCGGCTACAAACACGGTGTATTGAGTTAGCCAACAGGCTTGTAACGTGTTTTCTGGACTTTTCATCTTATGGGAGAAGAAGTATCTTAAACTCTTGCACGAAAACTCACAAGGCGAAAAAACATCCCTCCCTCTTTCTGGCTCATCTCAGGTTCTTCCCCGGACACCGCCTGAAGAGTGAGGCTTGGTCCTGGGAAGGAGAGAACACCCCCGGACAGACGCAGCCCGGCTTCACCCGGTGCTGTCGCCCGTTTCCTCCCCCCGCCCCCCCCTTCCCGAGTTTTGCGATGCGCTTCCTACTTCGGGTCTTGAAACATGAATGAGTTACCACTCAGTCACTGCTGGATGGCATCTTCAACACCGGGGAAAGGGTGGCGCCCCCACCGCCATCCCCCTCGGTTCCCAGGCAGGAGTGCGGCGGAGGGGCGCCGGACTAGGAAGCGAGGGGGATTGAGGGCACAAGCCCTACAGCCCTGAGCGTTCCCACGGCCCCGCCACACTCCAGGCTCCCGGCAGTGGCCCTGCTCACCCTTCTCCTTGGTCACCAGGGAGATAAGCGGCACCCGCGGGCGGTCGCTGAAGACCTCGGCCTGCTGCACCAGCGCCTCGCGCACGCTGTGGAAGTCGCTGAGGACGACCACCAGGTAGTGGCCAAGGAAGAAGCTGTAGATGTTTCCGTAGACGCGGGCCAGGTCGGTCAGCAGCACCTGCAAGCCCATGGAGGAAGGGCCCAAGCCTGGGGCCCTCCCCCTGCGATTCGTCCAGCTCTTCCCACGGAGGAAGGGCGGCAGGAGCAGGAAGCCGAAGTTGCCGACCACCGGCCAGGGCGTGGGCCCGGGGGGGATGCCCGGCGGCCGGAACCGCCTCAGCCAGCTCCAGCCGAGCAGCGCCGCCAGGCCGAGCAGCAGCAGCGCTCCGCCCGTGGGGTCCAGCCGCAGCAGCCCCAGGGGCGCGGGCAGGAGACTTGGAGGCCCCCAGCTCTGGACCGGGGGCTGCGGCGGCGCCCGGGCGTCCATAGCTGGTGAGCCGGCGGCCTCTGCCTTCGCGTCCAGTAGAGCGCACGCCGTTGTGGGCTGTGGCCTGGGCTGGAAGCCTGAGGCGGAAGGAGTGGCTGTGGGCGCCCAGGATTGGCTGTTGCTCGCTCCCCTTTCGCCACACCTCCTCTAAACCGGGACACTCTTGGGAAAATCTTAGGAGCTCGCTGGTCTGCAGATGAGGTCCAGCAACGAGGGGGCGGGGGGACGCGCTGTCTGACTTTTTGTCCGCTAATTTCCAACGTCCGCGTTTTCCGGGTCTGCCCGGCAGCGGAGGTGCAGGCGTTATTCCTGCGCTCTGATTGGCTCCTGGACTTAGTGGAGTTCGTTTGGCCGCCGGAGTGTAGGTCCTGCCACAGAGACAGGTCCCTGTGCTGACTCAGCCTCCACCTCAGCAGCTCCTCCCTGAGCTGGGAGAGTGGGGTCCCCGACCCAGCCCTCGACAGCAAAAAGACAGGGCTACTTCCTTATCCAAATCGGGATTCGGAGGAAGAAAGGCCACTTCCCTCCTCTCACTGACAGGAGGATGGCGGAAACGCAAGGTGTTCAATTTGTAGGCGTAGGTGGCCAAAGCTCCGGAAAGGATGGGCAGGGGATGGTGGCGGGTAGGGTGGGGGAGTCAAGCTGTTAGAACTTGCCAGGGGCAGGGAAACCTGAGCACGCGGAGAGTGAACGCTCAGTGTCCATTTCAGCCCGTGGCCTGGGTAAAGCAGACTAGTTCAGGAACTTGCGTGGAAGATTCAAGTAGCTAACTTTATATATATATAAAATATTAATAGGGTGATAGTATTATTATTGATAGGAGACCAAACCTGAAATGCTGGGGTTCAGATTTATGTGAATTGTATAACAATTTTAAGACAAAAGGCCTCTCTTAATTTTCTGTCATAATGGCTTCCAGCTGCTTCCCTTTTTCCTCACCTACAGGCTAAATCCTCTACTTTTTCTTTTGTTGGGTTGACACATAGAATTGTGGATACTAGACCATTTCTTTTAGTCTACTGAAAGGCTAGTTTCATATGAATCCTCTTAATGGATCATAATGAGTATCTGTTTCCTAACTTTTTTTGCTATTCTATTAACATTTGCCCGAATTTGTTCCCCTTTGTCCTCCTCTGACCAGCTTTGCTCTGCCTCCCACAGTTAGTTCCCACGCAGTTGTCCATGTTCATGGGTCATTCAGACACATTCTTTGACTAGTCCTTTCCCTTTCCACCATTATTCCCCTCTGCCCTCCCCTATAGAGGCCTCTGTCAATCTATTCCATGTTTCCATGTCTCTGGTCAATTTTGCACCAAAGTTTATTTTGTTTATTAGATTCCAAATACCAAGTGAGATCACATGGTATTTGGCTTTCAGTGATTGGCTTATTTCACTTCTATAATAATAGTCTCCAGTTCCATCCATGAGGGTGCAAAAGTTAGGAGTTCCTTCTTTCTTTCTGCTGCATAGTACTCCATTGTACAAATGTTCCATAGTTTTCTGATCCACTCAACTACTGATGGACAGGTAGGCTGTTTCCAGCACTTAGCTATTGTAAATAGTGCTGCAAAGAACATGGGGTGCATAAGTCCTTATGAATTGGTGTTTTGGGATTTTTAGCGTACATTCTCAGCAGCAGTACCATTAGGTCAGGAGACAGTTCCATTTTTAATTTTTTGAGGAGATTCCACACTGTTTTGCACAGTGGCTACACCAGTCTGCATTCCCACCAACAGTGTACTAGGTTCCCTTTTCTCCACATCCTCCTAAGCACTTGTTTGTTGATTTATTAATCATGGCCATTCCAACAGGTGTGAGGTGGTATCTTATTGTGGTTTTAGTATGTATTTTCTGATGGCTAGTGATGTTGAGCATTCTTTCATATGTCTATGGGACATCTGTATAGGGTCCTCCTGGAGAAGTGTATATTCAGATCCTCTGCCCATTTCTTAATTGGATTGTCAGTCTTCCTGGTGTTGGGTCTTCCTGGTGCAATCTGTATATATTTTGGAGATTAAATGTTTGTCCAACATATCATTGGCAAATTGGCACAAATAACACCCCCCTTTATTTTTTACTTTAAGAAAATACCATTTTCTTAAAGACTTTATTTACTTATTTATTTTTAGAGAAAGGGAGAGAAACATCAGTGTGTGGTTGCTTCTCACATACTCACAGCTGTGGACCTGCCCTAGAGCTCAGGCCTATGCCCTGACTGGGAATCAAACCAGCAACAGTTTGGCTCTCAGGCTGGCACTCAATCCAATGAGCCACACCAGCCAGGGCTACAACATCTTTTATTACAGTATCATAAGCATGTATTTCTGTAACATTATCACACTCATCTTATTACTCTACAAACCACACTCAAGCAGGTGTTGCTTCTGCTGGACCCTGTATGTTCTCCAATACTGTCAGTTCCCTTTTCGTTTTGATGATGGTTTCTTTAGCCATACAGAAACTTCTGAATTTAATGTTGTCCCATTTGTTTATTTTTTCTTTATTTCTCTTGCACTAGGAGATACATTGACAAAAACTATTGCTCTGTGGGATAGCTGACATTTTAATGCCTATGTTTTCTACTAGCATTTTTATGGAATCATGACTTATATTTAACTCTTTTAACCATTTTGAGTTTAATTTTGTGTGTGGTAGAAGTTGGTGGTCTAGTTTAATTTTTTTTACATGAACCTGTCCAATTCTCCTAATAACATTTTTCAAAGAGGCTGTCTTTACACCATTATATGCTCCTGCCCCCTTTGTCAATGTTAATTGATCATAGAGATATGGGTTTATTTCTGGGCTCTTTATTCTGTTCCATTGATCTATGAGTCTGTTCTTATGCCAGTACCAAACTGTTTTGATTACAGTGGCCTTGTAGTTTTATATCAAATACTGTGAAACCTCCAACTTTATTCCTTTTTCTCAAGATTGCTGAGGTTATTTGGGGTGTTTTTTGGCGGCATATAAACTTTTTGAATATTTTTTCTAGATCCATTATATATGCCAATGGTATTTTAATAGGGATTGTGTTGAATTTATAGATTGCTTTGGGTAGTATGGACATTTTAATGAAATTACCTCTTCCAATCCATGAACAGGATATATGCTTCCATTTATTTGATCTTCCTCAATTTCTTTCTTTCATGTTCTATATTTTTCTGAGCATAGGTGTTTTACATACTTGGTTAAATTTATTCCTAGGTTCTTTATTTTTCTTGTTGCTACAGTAAATGAGGTCTTTTCCCTGCTGTTTCTTTCTGATAGTTCATTGTTGGTGTACAGAAATGCCATTGACTCCTGAATATTGACTTTGCCAAATTCACTTACTAGGTTCAATAGTTATTTGGTGGAAACTACAGAGTTTTCTATATACACCATTATGTTGTCTGCAAATAGTGACAGTTTTACTTCTTCCTTCTGAATTTGGATGACTTTTATTTCTTTTCCTTGCCTGATTGCTGTGGCTAGGACTTCCTGTCCTATTTTGAAAGAAGTGAAAGCAGACACCCTTGTCTTGTTTCTGATCTTAAGGGAAAAGCTTTCAGTTTTTACCCATTGAGTGTGATGTTGGCAGTGGGTTTTCTTTATACGACCTTTGTTATGTCGAGTTATGCTCTCTCTATTCCCACTTTGCTGAGTGTTTTAATCCTAAATGGGTGCTGGATGTTATCAAATGCTTTTTAAGCATCTATTGATACGATCATGTGGTTTTTGTCCTTCATTTTGTTTATGTGGTATATTGCATTTGTTTATTTGTGAATATTGTACCATCCTTGCATCCCTGAGATAAATCCCACTTGATCATGGTGTATGATGTTTTTGATATAGTGTTGCATCTGTATTGCCAATATTTTGCTGAGGATTTTAGCATCTCTGTTCATCGGAGCTATTGGCCTGTAATTTTCTTTATGTGTTATATCTATGTCTGGTTCTTGGTTCTGCAACCAGAATTTTATTGGCCTTGTAAAAACAGTTTGAGCATCTTCCATCTCTTGAATTTTTTGGAAGAGTTTGAGAAGACTAGGAGTCAGTTCTTCTTGTAATGTTTGGCAAAAATTCACCTGTGAAGACATCTAGTCCAGGGCTTTAGTGTGCCAGGAGTTTTTTGATTACTCCTTCAATTCTGCTAGTTGTTATTGGTGTATTGAGGCTTTCTGCTTCTCCTTGATTCAGTTTGTGAAGAGTGTATGTTTATAGAAATTTAGCCATTTCACCCAGCTTATTCAATCTCTTGGAATGTAGTTGTTCATAGTAATTTCTTACAATCCTTTTTTATTTTTTGTTACTTCTCTTACATTTCTGGTTTTATTTATTTGTGCCCTCTCTTTTTTTTCTGGATGAATGTTGTGAAGGAGATTCGTTTATCAATCTGGTTTATCAATTTTGTTTATCTTTTCAAAGAAAGAGCTCCTGGATTCATTGATCCTTTGAATTGTTTTTTGGGTCTCTGTGTCATTTAATTTGCTCTAATCTTGATTATGTCCTTCCTTCTACTCATTTTGGGCTTTGTTTGTTGTTGTGCATCTACTTCTTATAGATATAGGGTTAGGTTGTATATTTGAGACTTTTCTATCTTCTTTAGGTAGGCCTGTATTGCTATGAATTTCCCTCTCAGGACTGCCTTCACTGTGTCCCTTAGGTTTTAGGTTGTTGTGTATTCAGTTTCATTTGTTTTGAGGTACTTTCTAATTTCCTCCTTGATCTGATTGTTAACTCATTCATTATTTAATAGTATGTTCTTCAGTCTCCATGTATTTGAGTGTTTTTGAGTTTGTTCCCTTGAGGTTGTTTCTAGTTTCAAGCCATTGTGATCCCAGAAGATGCTTGATATGATTTTAATTTTCTTAAATTTGTAAAGGCTTGTTTTGTGTCCTACCATGAGGTAGGAAATGATCTTTGGAAATGACCATATCTTTGCAAATGATCCATGGGCATTCAAAAAGAATGTATATTTTGCTTCTTTGGGAGGTAAAGCTCTGTAAATATCCATTAAGCCCATTTGATCTAAGGGGTCATTCAGTTCCATGATATCCTTATTGGTTCTTTGTTTGGAAGACGTACCCACTGCTGACCATGGGGTGTTAAAATTCCCTGCAATGACTATATTGCTGTTGATTTCCTTCTTAAAGTTCTCCAAGATTTCCCTCATGCACTTAGGTGTTCTTATGTTTGGTGCATCTAAGTTAACAAAGGTTACAACCTCTTCTTGGACAACTCCCTTAAGTATTATGTCATGACCTTCTTAGTCTCTTGTTATAGCTTTTGTTTAGAAGTCTATTTC